TCACCTTAGGTAGCCATTTACGAGACTTGTTAGTTAATGCTTTATTTATAATTGGTTTGCATAGACATATAGTGAATCGTTTATGAATAATAGACTCATAATACACGCGACAGCGGGTTATGAGTAAATTAGTGTCTCGGGTTAATAATCATGAATCATAAATTTCATAATTGAGGGAATTTGGGTGAGCAATTCTTGCGTAGGGTGAAGATAAAATCCTAGGTCTGTTTTAATTGATATTTTCCCGTGTTATTTGCTTTCTTAATTAGCTTAGTTGTTTAATTGATTTAATTTGACAAACTTGCGTAGGCTGGATAAAAATCATAATTGTTAGAATTTGGTACTTAGGATTAGGTAATTTGCGTATTCCCTGTGGGATCGACATCCGACTCTCACGAGTCCACTTTATTACTTGTTTGCGATACGTGCACTTGCGTGTTGGTATTTAGCACCCAACAAGTTTTTGGCGCCGTTGCCGGGGAATACGGCTAAATTATTTATTTATTCTAATATCAAATTTGAGCAATTTTTCTTACTTCAGCCATTTAAATTTTATTTTTTTTATTTTTTATTTTTAATTTTGATTTTTTGTTTTTTTTTTTACATGTCTGGTTACAATGTTGGGGCACCTCAAACGGGATATGAATGGCTTCCATCTGACGAATACCTCCAAAACACGTATGATATGCCTCCGTTTTGTTCAGTATGTGGTGGAAATCATTTTTCCGATCAATGTTGGGGATCACCAAAGGCGACAAATTTCGTCGAAATTACCAACGGGGGTTATTGGAACACTTACACCAACACATACGAGCAAAGCTTTCAAGACCAAGATTTGAACGAGTTTCAACATAGAGAGCCACAATTCGATGATTTTCAAAATTATTATCCAATGCAGCAGCAGACCAAGCAGCAGACCACTGATGAACAACTTGATTTGGTATCCGTTATTGCCGAATTCATGAAGTCCACTCAATCATCATTTCGAAACATGGAGATACAACTGGAAGAAATGACGCTCAAATTAAAATCTGAATCTCTTGAAAATATTCCAGACGGAATCGGCAATGGTTATATCAAAGAAAAATCGGGTGAAGCCTGCGGTGAGAAAAATCTTCTATATCCGGAAAATAGTGTCGATGTGATAGAAATAGAAATTACGAAGACACTTGAGCATGATGAATCTGAGAAGGCAATCGAGCTAAACCACGAAGATGCCTCAGAACAAGAGAAGAAGGAGATGGATGTAATGATTGAAGATATTCTAGTGGTGGACCCTGTCGTTGATCTAAATGTAGATTTGAAGGCATCAATAGAGGTTGACGAGAAGACGAAGGTGTTTGAAGTGGAGGTTATACGCGGACGTGAGGTTTTTGTGTACCGATTTGAGGGAGCGGGTGATGAAGATCCCATCTTAGCTTCGTACCGATTAATTACAACCAAGAAAGACTACAAGCTAAGGTGGACCCTGATATATTGCAATGCTATCCATGCATTGGTTGCAATTAAAGTGATAGAGCTCATGGATGGATGCGCAATCTACAAGGCTTTGGATTGGACATAACAGTTTTAAGAAGCAAAGTCTGGCTGAAGACTTAAAACTTAGCGCTTCTCGGGAGGCAACCCGAGCTTTCGTTTTTCTTATTTTACGTTATTTTAAATTTTTATTTTTGTTTTTATTTTATATATATATATATATATATATATATATATATATATATATATATATATATATATATATATAGGCACTAATACGAAGTTTTTATTTTGCAGGGACCTAATTGCAATTATTCACACGGCCGTGCAAGGAAAAGGCAGGAATCTCACACGGCCGTGTGAGATTTCGGCGCAGCTACTGGACAAAAACGCATAATGGCGCGGCCGTGCGGATTTCTTAACTAAATCTCGCACGGCCGTCCGAAATTCGAAGCCGCTACTGCCCAAATATGCAAAATGGTGCGGCCGTGCGGATTTCACGCTTAAATCCCGCACGGCCGTCCGAAAAAAAAAAAAAAAAAAAAAAAGAGGCAAATATATATTGAATATATATTTATTCATAAACAAAATTATCAATAATATATAAATAAAAATTCAATGACCATTGCAATTATTAATATTATACGTTTTTATTAATAAAAACAAATATTGTAAATGAAATTACATATATAAATATTCAATTTTTAACATAATTCTAATCTCTCACCGAAAATCATCTTTTCAATTATTAAATAATAAAATAATTTAATAAAAAGCATAGCTCACTTTTCGAAACCTCTGGCAATCATAAAGTTCTCCACCGCCTCCTTATCTCTCTCTCTTCAATCATCTCTGACTATTCTTTGTATATATGAATAATATGTACAGTGAAAAAAATTAGGAAAATTAGTTCAATTGCCTTGTTGAATCTGATTTCTAGAGTGATCTACTTTGGTGAAAATTTCTTGACTAAAGACAGAGGAGTTTGTTGAAAAGACAGAAGAACCGATATTATGAGTTATTGGATTTGAACATGACTGTGAAGACAACTGAGTTTGTTGAAAAGAGTCAAAAAACTTACGGGGTAATTTTGTCTAAATTCCATTCAGCCGTTCTCTGAACGAATAAGTATTAATTTATTGACTGAATCGGTAAGCAATATTTCATTAAGTTCAGAGCTCCCTACCAAACAGGCTGAATTGGTTATCTCTGACCGAATGAGTGTTTACTGTGTATTAAGAGGTCATTCAGAGCCTATCAAACGGGCCCTTAATCTCTTTGTGGTTTCAATTTTTGCAGATGATCTCTTCTGCTCGTAATATCAGCACATAGCCCTGTTGTGGTTTAGGGGTAGCTTTTGCTAGTTTTTCCGTCAAATATAACCGTGTGTGTCAAACTTCAAGGGGGTCATCTGTAAAACTGCAAAGCTTACATTTCGTGAGAAATCTGACGAAATGTAAGCTTTTGTTTCGTATAATTGTGCACGAAACGTAAGAAAGATTAACAAATAAGCTAATTTCGTGTAAAAACTCACGAAATTAGCCCCTTAATTTCGTGAGTTTCTACACGAAACGTAACTTTATTTCCGAAAAGTTTCGAATGTTTTCAAAATACTGAAAACGTATAGATTTTCGACGAAATTTGTTAATATACTACTATAAAACATTGGGTTAACGATTTCGAGTTCGAAATTTTACCTTAAATCGTTGTTGAATTGCTCGTTTAATCCGCAAGAACTCGAAGAACCTTGGACCGGGTTTGAGAGGATTTTGAATTTTCTTAAGAAAAGTTACAAATGAAATAAAGTCGCACTGCAAGCCGGTAAAAGTTGTTCTATGAATAGCATTTCAGTAATAATAATGAGGAATGTACTTGTATGTAATTAAATGAAAGTTGTGGGTACATAATGCAATAATGGAAACGGTGGTGTTGGTAATGTTATTAAATAAGGTCGGCAAAAGTCACATTCCCTTCTTCCTCCGTCACCGTCGTGTTTCTATCTCTCACACAATTGCGTATATTTACATTATAGTCCTCACTAATTGAATAATCCTATTAATTAAACTAAATAAAAAAGTGAGAATTAGAAAATCCTCCCCAAAACTTTATATAATTGGAACAACTTTTTGAAAGACCCCTAACCCTAATACCCTTCAATATCAAGACATCAATATATTTTCATTATCTAAAAGTTTTTGAACAACAATTTCTATAAATTAGCTAAAAGTCCACCAATCGCGAACAATAACGGCGCTCCAGAGGTGGAGTTTTGGAGATTTTTTTTTTCCATGGATCCATTTTTTGTGTACTAAACTCTCTCGATCCGAACGCTTCTTTCGCACAACTTTGAATGCATATTAATTTGTTATAATCCCGTTTGGTAATACTCTTTATCTATACTCTCCTTAAACACTACTTGAAATATAGTTGTCTAATAATTAAGCTCTTGTTTGCTAAAGTCTCTAACTAATCTCTAATTAATTGCTAAACTCTCACTACAAAAAAAAGCATTTTTTGTGACGATCTTTTGTGACAAATTCTAAATTCGTCACATTAGTAATGGATCTTGTGACGAAATTTCAAGTCGTCGCGTAAATTGAATTTTTATGAGACAAAATCATATTTTGTCACATAAAATTCATTTTATGCGACAACATTAAAAAATCATCACGAAAGGAAAGGCCGGCTGGTTCTAACAATTGCCGCACAGTTTTTTGTGACAATTTGCAGTTGTTTTATGACAAAATAATTTCGTCACATTCATTATTTTTCTGACAAAATTAATTTCGTCATTAGATAAAGTTCTTTTCAATTTTAAAAAAATTCTCTCCCATCTTTTAATTTTGAACGCCATTTTTCTTCTTTATGTGACAAAAAAAGTATTTTGTCTCTTAAATACAAAACTAACTATTTTTGACTCCTCTTAATTAAATGTTATTTAATTGACCACAAAATTTCCTTTGTATTTGGTTACGTCTTTTTCCCATTCCATTCTGTTTTTTGTGGAGTAAACTGCAAAAACTACCCCTGTGTAATCTCGAAATAGCGAAAACCCCCCTGTGATAAATAAACTAGCAAAAACCCCCCTGTGAAATTTAGTCAAAGGCAGAATCCCCCCTAGCTGATTTTTTAGACTTGAAGTGACAAAATTGTCCCTCAAAATGTATTTATATATATACATATTATATGTATATTTATTCTTTTTAATTTGTATGTTTAGAAATTAACAAAAAATAGTAAACAACTAAATTCGATTATTTTTTAAATACTATAATTCAAATATTTATCAAAATATAAGAATTTATTAATTGTAAGACTCCAGGGGTATTTGTGTCTTCTTATATCAAGTCAACCCTCACATAGTTCCATAGGGGGGTTTCCGCTATTTAAATAATTTCACAGGGGAGGTTTGAGCTAA